ATTTGCCTCCCCATGGATTCCAGGCTTTCCATGGCTGATTTCAAGCTGAATCCATGGCTGGTTCCAGGTCAAATCCATGGCTGATTCCAGGCTGAATCCATGGCTGGTTCCAGGCTTCCCATGGATTCCAGGCTGAATCCATGGCCGATTCCAGGTTGAATCTATGGTTGGTCCCAGGCTGAGTCCATGCCTGATTCCAGGATGAATCCATGGCTGGTCCCAGGCTGGTTTCACTTTCCGGGAGGCTCGTGCTGACCCTCCCGCTCAGCCCTGAGCTTTGGGCTGCCATGGGGGTGTCCCTCAGCACCGTCCCTGCCCCTGCCCCCTCAGGCAGCGATGTCGCAGTGCACGGAGCTGGAATGGGCCGTCCAGGTGCTGGTGAACAACTTTGACAAGTACTCGAGCCGCTGCTGCTGCTGCAAGAAGCCGCGGCGCATCAGCAAGAAGGATTTCCGCAAGATGCTGAGCCGGGAGCTCAACCACATGCTGACGGTGAGCGCGGGCGGGCGGGGCCGGGGGGTCCTGCCCCTGCAGCTCCCAGGGGGTCCCCCTGCCCCGCACCCCGGTGTGAGCGGCTCTGCTCCCCCCCCAGGACACCGGGAACCGCCGCGCAGCCGACAAGCTCATCTGCGACCTGGACGAGAACAAGGACGGGCGCATCAGCTTCGACGAGTACTGGACCTTGATAGGCGGCATCGCCAGCCCCATCGCCCAGATCATCCGCCAGCAGGAGCAGAGCATCAAATTCACCAAGTAGCCGCTGCACAGGACCCTCCTGGACCCCCCTGCTTCTCCACGACCCCCCCCCCGCTTTGTGCCCTCCCCGAGCCCCAGCTCGCCCCGGGCCACCTCGGCTCCCCAGGGCTCTGCCGACCGAGCCGTGCCGGGCTGTGACGGAGGCGGGACGACCCTGTGGGTGGGATTTGGGGACGCGAGGCTCCTCCTCGCCGTGCCTGCCCTGCCCTCCTCCCCTTCACGAGACCTGTTGGGCGAGAAGCAAAGGGAGAGGTTTACCCTCATGTGGGACCTGAGTTCTGCCTGTTCTCAGAGCTCCGCTGACAGAACCCCCGTCACAGCCGGGACCCCCCTCTCCCCTTGCAGCTCCCCCTCAGAGCGGGGGGTCTTCCTGGGCAAAGGGGGCCTTTCCCCGTGCCCGGGCTGGTGGAGGGAGTGCCCCGGCCGGCGCTCGGGGCTCGGCGCGGCCCCCTCGGGTGACACCCCCGTGGTTATTTATTGCGGCAATAAAATCCGGAGGAGCAGCGGGTGACGCTGAGGTTCTGCCTTCCCTGTGCTCCGAGGGGGCGGGGGGGCCGAGGGAGGGGGTCTGCCCTGTCCCCCACCGCCCGCACAGTCACACCCCGGTGACAACGCCCGTCCCGGTCACCGCGGGGCTGACGGAGCACCACGAGGTGTCAGCAGACACCGCGCACTCCCAGCGCCCACCACACCTCAACCCAACCCAACCCTCTGCCTGGGGACAGGGCTGGCGGCCGCTGCCACAGCTCTCCTGGGGGACCCCCTCTGTGTCCCCGAGGGGGTCCCCGGCAGCCCGGAATTACAGCTCCATATTCCAGCGGCTCCGCGGCTGCCCCGACCCCGGGGGGGCGTGTCTCGGGGGACCCCCCATTTCCGTCCTGCATCCCGGCACATTGCAGACCCCCCACCCGGGATGGGGACGGGGGAAAGCTGTGCCGAGACCTTCAGGGACCCCCAAAGACCCCCAGGGACCCCCGTGCTCAGCAGGGTTGGGCTCGTCGCGCTCCGCAACGCCCACGGTGCGGGCAGGGAGCCCGAGCCGCTCCGGCTCTTCCGGGGATTTTCCACTGGGAAGGGACTTGGGCGTGGACCTACGAGCGTGGTGGTTGCCCCCCACGAGCCCCACTCGCACGGCAGGGGGGTGATGGCACCGTGAAACCGCGACCCCCATCCCCTCCCAGCCAACCCCTCGTTGCTCTCGTTCCGCTGCAGGAGCATCTCTGTCCCCTGCCTGTCCCCCTGCCCACGGAGCCCCCTCTGCCCGGCCCCGCAGCTCCGGGGGTCCCCGGAAAACCGGGATTCTCGCCGTGGGAGCGGGGCGGGGCCGCGGCTGAGTCACGGCCGAGGAATCCCCGTGGGGCGAGGGCCGGGCCGTGACTCACCCCGCGGTTTGTGGGGCTGGGCTGGGCCCCGCTCCCGCCGCTCCCACGGAATCCCAGCGATCCAGCCTCGATCCTCGGGGTCCCTCCGGAACGGACCCTCAGCGTGGGGGCAGCCAAACCCCAACACCTCATTTCTAGGTGCAGCAAACGGGAACATTTCTTGTGTCCCTTCCCACCCCTGGGAGGGTGTGGGGGGCAGAGAAGGTCTTGCTGCTCCCTAAAACAGGTCCCCCCATGTGCCCAGCTATGGAATCCCAGAGAATCTTGGGTGATCCCTCCTTCTTAAGGGTGGGACACCACACAAACCCCCCTGGCATGGCTGATGCCCCCCTGTGCCCTGGTCCTTGACCTCAGTGACCCTCTGTGCCAAGGACAAGGGGATGAGCTCAGCTTCTGGGTGCTCCTGAAGGACCTGGAGAACGACAAGGACAAGGTGATGGACTGGAAGGGGGACGTGGCTCTCCTAGGGGAGCACAAATTCTGACCCTGTGCCTGGTGCTAAGCAGGTGTTAAAGCTCAGAAACCCACCAGGCAGCACCAAACCCCAGCCCACGGCTCAGATAAATCCATTGTCACCCCCCCTGCCCCAAATATTCCCTTGGATTGGGGTCACCAGGAAGGGATTGCTCAGGACCATCCATGCTGGGGGTGTGAGGGACAGTGCAGTGATGGTTTAGGGGGCACATGGGCTGGTGACCCACCAGCACCCAAATCCCCCCCCTCTAATGGGATCACACAGCCCGTTAGGCAAAAATGGGGTGTGGGTGAAACCACCCTGGTGGAGCTGCTGGGAAAGCCCGGGGGGGCACAGGGGCAGTGCCACCCCCATGGGGCTATAAATGCCCATCCTGCCCTGGCTGCAGTATCCTGTGTGTCCTCAGGGCTGCTGACCAGGTGAGTCTCTGCTCCTCTTCCTCCCTGCACCTCAAACCCTCCGGAGGGCCGTGGGGGCTGCAGGCGAGCGGCCCGGGCAGGGTGGGGGGCACAGACCCTGAGCCCCTGTCCTGCTGTGCCCCCCAGGCTGGCCATGGCGTGTCCCCTGGAGCAGGCACTGGCTGTGATGGTCACCACCTTCCACAAGTACTCGGGGAAGGAGGGGGACAAGTTCAAGCTCAGCAAGGCTGAGCTCAAGGACCTGCTGAACAAGGAGCTGCCCATCTTCGGGAGTGTAAGTGGCCACGAGGGACATCCCTGGGTGGCCTTTGGAGGTGCCTGGGGCAGGGTGGGAGGTGTTAGAATGGTGGATGCAGCCCAGAGAAGCCTCATGCTCTGGGGAGAGCCCTGGGGAGGAGGAGGAGGAAGGATGAGACCGGGAGGAGCTGAGCTGGAGCAGCCTCAGCCCAAAAGGAAATTTGGCTTTTTTTATGCCCCCAGAAATATTTAGTTTGGCAAAGGAAATCACACTCTGATTTCCATTTTATAATAATTTTTTTTAACCCCCAACTTCCCCTTCTTTAAAACCTTGTGGTTTAAATTGGGAGGAGGGAGGAGAAGTTTTTTAGCCCAACTTTTCCACATCCCAGAGGCACATTTGGTGCAGCTGCTCCAGCACTGCCCTGTCACAGGTGCAGCTTTCCAGGCCACCTCCTTCCAAAGGCAAAGGGAAAACCCTCCTTCCAGGCAGGGGGAGGGGAGCAGGGCTGGAAGGGCAGGTTGGGGACACCCCAAAACCTCTCATGCCCCACCAGAAACAAATGGATGAGGCGGAATTCAAGCGGCTGGTGAACGACCTGGACCACAACAAGGACAGCGAGGTGGATTTCAAGGAGTACGTGTGTTTCCTGGCCTGCATCACCATGGGCTTCAACGACTTCTTCAAGGACGACCCCAGCAAGCAGCACCGCAGGAAGTGACCCCCCCACCCCTGCCCAGAGGGGCTTTCAATAAAAGCTTTCCCCAGTTCTGGGTGTGCTCCAGGGGTTCTGTGCCTGCTGGGTAACGGGCAGAGGGTGATTCATACCTTCCTCCAGCTCCCTGGGATTTTCCATGCTCTGATGCAGCCCCGGAAGGCATTTTCTGGAGGAGTCTGAGCAAAACAGTCTGAGCTGCTTGGATGCCCCCCCTGAGCTGTCCTTGCTGGCTCAGGGAGGGACTCAGTGCACTTTGGGTTGAAACAGCTGAGGTTCGAGTGCCCACAGCGGGTTTAGGCGGGCACGAGCTGCCCTGGGCACCTCGTTGGGTTTGGGGAGAGAAACTGGGGTGGAGGAACTGGACAGAGAGACACGAACCCAGAATGTGTCACCAGACCCCTCCAGGAGACCCTCAGCCCTCCTGGGGGTGGGCCCGTGCTGGGGGGCTGCACTGGAGGTCAACCCAACCCCCCTGAGTTCTCCAGGGAGCCCTGGGGCCACAGACAGGCAGGAATTTCCTGGGATGTGACTGGGAGCCAGAGGGTTCCCCTTCCTCCTCCTCCTCCCATCGCTGAGGCAGCTCCGGGCAGGTCTGGGCTGGTTTGCAGAAGGTGCAGCAGCTGCTCTTTGGCTTTTCCACAGGAACCATCCCTGATTTAAAAAGCCCTCACAAAGCCTCTGCACCACTCCATGACAGAGCAGACCCCTGGCAGAGCCTGTCCCCAAGGGCCCAGGTCTTCCCTGAGCCCCTCTAGGTCCTTCCCTGAGCCCCTCTAGGTCCTTCCTTGAGCCCCTCCAGGTCCTTCCTTGAGCCCCTCCAGGTCCTTCCTTGAGCTCTCCAGGTCCTCCCCAAGGCCCCCATGTCCTCGTTGAGCCCTACCAGGTCCTCACTGAGCCCCTCCAGGTCCTTCCAGCACCTGCCCAGTAGCTCCAAACTTTGCTCTGCCCCTTCCCAGAGTCTTTATGAAGAGCCCCAGGAGCTTCTACCCCTCCCAGTAACTCACACCAGTTTGCACTAATGAGGGGAGGAAGTTCAGGCTGGGGGTTTCTCCTGCCAAAATGTAAAGAAACCCCCAACCTGGGGAGATGTCAGGGGGTGTCTGGGGAGCTTTCACATCCCACTGAGCTTTGGAGCAGCTTGGAGCTTCATCCCCTGCTTTTCTCTCTCTGTTCCCCACAGCAGCAGGTTCCCTCTGAGGGGGCTGGGGGGGCACTCAGGGCCTTTGTCAGCCCTCAGCCCACGTCTGGGGGGTTGGAAACTGCCGGTTCCTGGTGTTCTCCACAGCTCCTGACACGTGCCTGGGCCACGCAGGCACCGAAATAGCGCCGGGTTACACAACGGGGCGTTGTGACGCTGCCCTCGGAGCCAGGAAACAAAATCGCTGCCAGGAGAGTCAAAACCAGACAGAAAAACCCTCAGCACAAACCCCCCTCCCCATGGACAGACCCTGCTGGGCTCCAGAATCCCTCGGGATGCTGCCAAAACCGTCTCGTGTGGCCCCACCTGCCCACGCTGGCACAGGTGGGATGCGGTGCCCGCCGCTCATCCCGTGTGCCCAGGGATTCTCCTGGACCGGGAGGTCCCTGCCCAGCCCCAGGGGCACGTTTTGTTCTTTCTAACCCCAACCAACCCCCAGGAGCAGGAAAACTGGGGGGGAGGGGGGCGGGCAGGGCTGCTCCCAGGCTTTCCTCTCCTCCTTTTCCAGCGGGCGCTGGATCGTTGGTTCCTCCCCGCCCGGGGCCGAGGGAGGTGGCCCAGGCGGGGCTATAAATCCCGTGGCCCGGCTCCGTCTCCTCTCCCGCCCTTCCCGTCCTCCGCTGTTCCCTTTGAGTTCTCGGTGAGTTGTATTTTCCCCGCGATTCCCCATCCAGCTGCTCTCCAGATGTTGCCGGTGGCGCATCCCACAGCGGGGTCCCCTGGCAGAGGTTTTCCCTCGGGGATGAGAGGGAGGTTTCTACTGGGGGAGCCGAGTTCCAAGGCTGGATTTCACCTCCGAGGGCTGGAAAAGCACCTGAGTCTCCCCCCCCGCCTGGCCTGGGCAGGAAGGGGCTGTGGCCCCCCCTCTGACACGGCCTTTTTGGGGGTTCTCCAGCCTGGCTGGAAGTGGGAGGCTGGAAATAGGGAGGGAACGGTGCATCCCAGTGTGTGCCCAGGAATGGGGCACTGGTCTGGGGGTGGGAGATGCTGTTGCCCCCCAGCACGGGGGGGGGGCCCAAACTCTGCTCTCAGCTGTTTGTCTCTCCAGGTCTCCCGGTGTCCCCATGGCAAGTCCCCTGGAGCAGGCGCTGGCCGTGATGGTCACCACCTTCCACAAGTACTCGGGGAAGGAGGGGGACAAGTACAAGCTCAGCAAGGCCGAGCTCAAGGAGATGCTCCTGAAGGAGCTGCCAAGCTTCAGTGTGAGTGAAGGGCTACAGGTGCCACGTCCAGGGGCAATTCCAGGACTGGGAATGTGGCCTTGGATGCAAACCCTGATTTTAACCCCGTTTTTCCCCCGGGCAGAAACAAACCAGCGAGGCCAGTTTACAGCAGCTCATGAGCAACCTGGACTGCAACAGCGACAGCGAGGTGGACTTCCAGGAGTACGTGACCTTCCTGGCCTGCATGGCCATGATGTGCAACGACTTCTTCCAGGACCTCCCGGACAAGATGCCGCGCAGGAAATGAAAGGGGAGCACCTTCCCCAGGCCCTCCCCCTGTCCTCCTGATGCCATTTCAATAAATATCGATTTCAACCAAGTCCCTGCTCCCTTTGCCACGGGGGTCTCGTGCCCCAGGGATGGGGTGTTGTGGCCGTGGGCGAGACCCCGATTCCCTCCCTCGGGCAGGTTGCACGGACGGGGTGAGGAGTGGGAACGAGGGAGGTCCCAGAGTGGATTCTGCTCTGCCTTGGTGTGGACACCGCGTTCCCTGAGCCCTCGGGAACCGCCCGCGAGCCGAGCCCTGGCAGCCGCTCGGGATGAGTCAGCGGCGGGCTCTGAACGCCCCGCAGCCCCGAGAGCTGTTCACGGCCGCACAGAGCGAGGCGGGAGGTTTCCCAGGGATTAGCGGCTCCGGGAGCGGCAACAAAGGCTGAACGACTCCTTTTTAGCTGTAACTGCGAAGCTCAGGCAGAGTCAGCGTCTGACCCCCCCCGCGGGGCAGGACCCGCCGCACTGGGCTGTCGCGCAGGACCCTCGTCCCTTCCCCTCCCCAGTAAATCCTGAGCGGGGTTTCAGCCGCGTTCCTGCTCGGGGTGGGGTTGTGGAGCCACTTCCCTGTGCACCCAGCCAGCCCTCCTGGGCTGCCACAGGGCACACTCAGCCCATGGCTATAAACTGTGGGAGCAGCCCCGGCCCCGCTCTGAGCTCATCCTTCTCATGGTTCTACATCTCCTTTCCTCCCCCTCATCCCCTTTTCCCCCCAGTGAAGAGCTTTGGCCATCTGGGCTTGTGTGCTGGGCTCCAGATGTGCAATTTACCCCTTCCAGATGTGGGTGTCCCCTCCTCCACCCCGCTGGGAGCCTTCATGGGTCACCTCAGGCTGTGCCAGAAGCACTGGAGATGCCACAAAGGCTTTGGTTTGTCCAGCCTGGGCTTTGCCCCCCCCTTGGATGGCCCCGGGGTTGTGTGGGGGGGTGGCCAGGAGCCACCACAAAATGCAGAGCTGGGGGGTCTCATCCTGGAGAAAAGGAGGCTCAGGGGGGACCTTCTGGCTCTGGAAT